CCAGGCTTTGGCGGCACCCAGCCCGGACTAAGTCCCCGCGGACTGCAGGTCAGGGAGTTGTCCCCGGGCTAGGGGCCCTCCACAAGCCAGATTCCGCTCAGACAGACCGGGATCCAGCTTCCCCAGCCCCGGGTCCCCTATTTAACAAAGACAACAGGGACCCGGCTGGAGAGAAGGCGAGCTTCCCGGGTGAGTACGTCCGTGTGCGCCCGGGAGGGCTGAACGGCCTTGCAGTCAGCGGAAGGCAGATGTAGGCTGCTGGGGCTGGCTGCAGGCTGGTCAGTTTCCCTTTGTGTCAATTTCCCGAGTCCGAGGTAATCCACCAGAGCCGCTGGGGAGATATCGGCAGAAAAGCCGCTTGCTCTCGTCCCAGCCCAAAAGATTCCTTACCATTTAGGGGGCCTGTGGTCAAAACGATTTCCAGTCCTTGGTGACTCCAGCGCCCTTGGCAACCTTCTCCCTTCTCCGCGGACTTGAGCTCCACTGGAGGAGATTCTGATCTCGCAGACTGAGCCCCAAAACAATCGAGTTGGGAGTAACACTCTGAGAGGTGAACAAGCCCTTGGCTCAGCCAAGGATTCATTGGGAAGCAATCTGCGGAGGGCCGGCCCCCGCGTTTCTTTCCTCGCGGGCGGGAATCCACTGGCCCTCACTGCCTCTTTCTGGGCAGAGCCCGGCAGCCCAGAGGTCGTGCCCGGGCCCTTGGGAAGATAGCCTCAGACCCGGTGGTCTCTCGGCTGTGCTCCAGCGTGGAGAAGGCAGCTCCTTCCAGGTGCGGGTTAATCAACCGCTAATGCCAGTGTCTCTGACCCTCCTTTTCCCGGCCTTCATCTGTCCTCTTCCCCGGGAACCGCTCCCTCCTCCCATTTTCAATCTCCCCGGCAGCACAGTGGGGGCTGGGCCCCAGCCAACCTAGCTTTCCGAGCTGCTGCAGCCCCTTGGCTCCTCTGGAAGTGCCCTTGGTTCTGAGCCCAATGCTGTCTGCTTGCACAATGTAGGCCTGCTTTGGAGTCCCAGCTAGCTGACCATCTCAATCCCGGGGCAATAGATCCTCGGAGATCTCTGAGATAGTAGAGGCTCAGACCAAGCCCCACTCCTCATCTTCCTTCTCTGGCTCTGGTCAGTTTTCCCCCCTCCCCCGCCGTTTCTGTGGGAAAGTGGTGTGTGGGGGAGGGGCAGACACTGCCTGGAAATGGGCTTCTGAGTTCCCCTGCCCCCACCCCTTATTCCAGGCTCATTTTCTCAGCAGCACACTGGTCTCCTGTCCCCCTCTCCAGATGCTTCCCTTCCGTAGGTGTTCTTAGCAGTTACACAGCACTCTTGTAGCTAGTCTCCTACCTGAGCATTCCCTAATCCTTCAGCTACACCCATTTTACAGAGTATGACATTGAGGTCAGAGAGACAAAAAGACTGACAGAAAGTTCATGAGGGCAAAGCTGGAGCTTTCTGATGGAGACATTAAAAAAACAAGGCTTTGAGAGGATTCATGGAAGGGGGTGGGAAGGGACTCGGATTCCAGAAAGAGAGCAATGGGCTGTCTGGGTGGACACACATTTGCAAGACTTTCTCTCTGTCTGGTCCAACCATATCTTCGTCCATAGCCCGACTGTCCGTGTGTGTCAGCACCTGTCTGTCCACTGGAGAGTCCGTGAAGGGACATTTCAGCTCTGCCCTTTTTCTGTGTTCCTGTTTGCATGTCTGTGCCCCTTCGTTCTTCCTCGCTGGTGCATCTAGGAAGAATTTCAATGGCCCATCTGGTCCTGGAGTTCAATCAGCAGCTGAGTCAGCAGAGACCCTCCCTCTAAGGCCCTATGCCCAGCCTTGGTCTTCGGGGTGTGGACAGAGCCCCTGGGTGGGCAGCATGTCCTTATCAGGGCCTGTGGAGTGTCCGTAGAAGGTGATCCCTTCCAGAAAGGCCACTGGGGCATCTGCATTTCAACACTTCTCCCCTTTCCTCCCTCCAAACCCTGCTAGGTCTGCCCTGTGGGGCGGGACTGTGTTTCCCTTGTGTCTGTGTGTCTGTTTCCTGGTCTTTGCTTTGATTTGTTTTCATCTGTTTCTGTGTCGGTCTCTCAGTAAATTTTATTTGCCTCTGAAAAGTGTAGCTGAGTCTTTGGCCTCCCTATACCCCTTCCCCCACAGGATGAGCCTTTACCCAGCTGGAATCTGCAGTAAGTAGAGGCTGGGATGTGGGTTTTCCAAGGAGATGCTGTGCTGGAGCTGGGGCCCCAGAAAACAAAGGTCCCCCTCCACAGAAGCCCCCTGCCCTTCTGATGCCCCTTACCAGGCTTCCTCCATTTTCTCTTCTGTCTCACTGTGTACCATACCAAGCTTCCTTTTCTCTGTCTGGCCAACTTCTTCCTTCTTTTTTGTCCTCACCTGCCTTCCTTACCTGCAGCTTCCCTTCCAGGAACTCTCTCCCCTTGCCATCCTGCTTATTTAGTGCTCACACTTTGCACCCTTCACACATCTCTCAGAGTCTCCTTTAGTCTCTTTCCTCTTTTCTTCCCCCTACTGTATTCCCTCTCTTAGGCTTCAAATTTCACTTCTTTCTAATCTCAGGGTTAAGTGGGAGACATTGCCTTCTCAGGCCACAATTGTAAACCTCATCACCCTCAGAAGAGCTCTACTGGGTAGGAGTATGACTGAGGTTCTGACTCCTAGTGACCCTGTAGGACAGAGTAGAACTGCCCCTTAGGGTTTCCAGGGAGTGGCTGGTGGCTTAAACTGCCCACCTTTTGGTTAGAAGCCAAATGCTTAACGACTGCACCACCAGGGGCCCATGACTGAGGCAGAGAGGTCCAAGTAGATTTGGGGGCCTTTCCAGGAAGTTGAGGACTCCCAGCTCATCCTGGTCTGATGTCAGCTGTGGACATGTGTATCAGACTCTGGAAAGGCATTGATGGTCCACTTTTGTGGGCAAAGGTGGTTTAGGGGTCTGCTATCACCTAGAATGACCAGGCTCTGGTGGAGGGGGACCCTTAGGGTTTTCTTCCATGATTCAAAATGATCCCAGAAGCTTAAAAATGTCCTACCTCTTGGACGTTTCAGTCCTGCTCTTGGAATTTAAGTCCTGAGAAGGTTGCCGCTGTGTTTGGGCAGAAAGTGTCACTTGCCAGTGGTGAAAAGAACAGGCTATTGCAGATGGGCTACAATGCCTGGACTCCCAGGTCGCCTTGGGGCTGGGTGCTTTCAGCTATCTTTTCCTGCCGTTTGTCTTCCCAGGTGAACTCCTAATAATTTTGAATTTACTTTCTTTTACTCAAATCTATCCTGTTCTTGAAAGATCTTTGTGACCCTTTTTTATTAGGTGTTCCTGGCCCCAGAACAAAGCTTTCTTAAGGCCCTTGACCAGAGTGGCTGCAGTATTTCTGTTTCAGGTGAACTATGCAATTGCATTCCTACCTGAAAAATTCAATTCAGGACGGTTTTCCTTTTTCTTATGTCTGGAGTGTTTTAGAACAATCAAAACTGATTAAAGCTCATTTTGAAAATCAGAGAGAAATTCAGCCTAGAATTGGAACTAAGTACTGCGGTGATTCGTAAAATTGTGTTTTTCCTTGAAATAAGCCTGAGCTTGGAAATTTTGGGAAATATTCAAACTGACTCTCACTGGAAACTTGAATGAATTGCTTTGGCAGTTTTTTGGAAATAGGTTATGTTATGGGTGTTTTTGCTCCTTCTATTTCAGCTGTTGCTCATGAACCTCGATAATAGTTGAGAACTGAAGAGATATAACTAAGATGAGGTGGTTATTTTATATTTTAGACTTGGAATGTGTGTGTATGTGTGACTTCCGAGATGCCTTGATTTTCCTTGTATAGTCCAGTCCCAGCCAAGTCCCAGTTTAGGAAGAGGTTTCCGCCTACCTCGCTCGACTTCTGAGCTGCCAGCAGCATCGGCACATGCTTGGACTTGGCTTTTGGCTCTACTTCCCAGCAGTGTCAGCTAGTGGCTGATTAACAGCTACAAGGTCAATAATGTTGCTACACTGGATGGTTCTGTTGACTGGTTTGGTTCTTCACTTTCTTGGGCCCTCCATTTTCCTCCAGATGAACCTTGATATAAGGGAAGGGAGCATATTGGGGGAAGGATACACTTTCTGGAACTCCTTTTACATAAAATTTACTCCAGAACCCTTGTAAAATCTGTGGCTCAGGAGCCTACCCATTCCCCCTTTTTATTCCCCCTTAAACCAACCTAAAACTGCTTATCAATTGCAAAACACACCAAAATTCCAGGGAAACTTCTTTGTAACAAATCCTGCTGCAGTGGAGTAGAATGTCTGGTGAGTGGAAGATCCTCTGACCCATTTCTTTTGTGTGCTGTGAGAGGGTACAGTGGTCAAGTTTGCACGTCAGCCTCACCTTCTCCAAGGATGAGTTTTTAACAAGGCAGTAGTTGGAGTTTTGTCTCAGTACTCTGGAGATGCTAAAAAAAAAAAAAAAAAAATTCTTCTTTTTAAAAGTCCTTAGCCCTTGAGTCAGATTGCTGATTAAAAAAAATTTTCCCTGGAATCCAGATGTACTGGGGTAGTGCTTTTCACTTTTAAAGATATTTGTTAAAAGGAAAAGAGTCTCATTCCCCCCCCTCCCTTTAAATTTGATATATTTAAAAATGTATCTCCTCCCTAGGATCTTAGTTAGACCTCAGCATCATGGCATAAGTTGTGCTCCTTTATTTATAGACTGACGTCTTCACACAGCCCATTGTTAAAACACCATAAATTACAAGGAAAATGCTAATAACTAAAGGAAACATAGTATGGGATGCTCGTTACCAATAGCTCAGTTGCTTACTGGACAAAGGCTAAGATTAGTTTTGAAAAGCAATCTGGGGTGCTGGTGTAGCCTGCACAATCTGACTCCAGGCTCAAGACACGCAGCCTGCCTGCCCTTTCCGTTCGGAGGGGCCCGGGGCGCACGGAGCGGCGCTGTCTGCTTGTGACTGACTGCTTCTAACCGCATTTTCCCTTGCCTTTTGTTTCTGATCTGTTTCAGGACATGGAGGAGTGAATCAGCTTGGGGGGGTTTTTGTGAATGGACGGCCACTCCCCGATGTAGTCCGCCAAAGGATAGTGGAACTTGCTCATCAAGGAGTCAGGCCCTGTGACATCTCCAGGCAGCTTCGGGTCAGCCATGGTTGTGTCAGCAAAATTCTTGGCAGGTAAAGGCAGGAGCCCCATGCTTCTCTTGATTTTTCAAATAAAGACCTCAAACGTGACCCAGTAGCTGTCCACTGTGCCAGTGTCATAGTGAGACTCATGGCAGCACTTCACTCCACAAGCGTAGCACTTTAGAGTTTGCAGAGTCCTTTTGAGACCATTCAACGTGAAGTACCCCTGGGAAGCACCTGTCTCAAGTGACATACGGAAGGGGGTGACTCAGTCAGGAACGACAACATATTTTCTAAAAAGCTGGTGAATTATACTAAAGAACCCAAGAGTAAGAGGTGCTTGGGAATTTCCCCTATCCATCTTAGGTAAGACTGGGACTTGAGCGGAATGAGTGGAAAATCCACAAGTTATAAAATCACTCAGCCAGAGTGTAATGTTTCATTGTAATGTTTTCAAAAGCGCATTCCATTTTTATCAGTCAGTCATCCTTTTCAGTTTTGGGTTATCATGCAACCATACTGGGCTGCGGTATTTTCCTCCTATCTGTTTGGTTTCTTTTGTAGTGACAGGCTTCCTAAGTATATATTAAATTAGAGAGGAGAGAAAAAAAAAAAAACAAAAACAAAACAGACACCAACTCTCAAATCTGACATTTGAAAGTTGCGACTTGACCCGATGATTTGCTGCAAGTCAAATGCTCACAATGGTGATACTCCCAGAGGGCTGTACAGACTTTCAGCTTGCCTGTGTATGCTCTCTGTTGAGCCTCAGCACGATCCAGGGAAGCATGTTTTGAGATGAGGAAACAAACCAAGAGAGGCGAAGTGACCCATCCAGGTTCACTGGGACAGTAGGTACTCAGGTTGGGTTGAAGCCTAAAGGACTTTGACCCCCAGACTTGTCTTGTCAAACCCCAAAAACAAAGCTACAGGTTTGTTTTCAGGCATGTGGTGGCATTATAGATCTCACCGGAAGCCAGGGGCGTCCTCAGGGTTAGTGATCATGTACGCCCTCAGTATCTCTCTCCCTGGGTCAGGAAGCAACCTTTGTCCTGTAGCTTGCATTATGGTTTCAGAGCAGATGCTTGACTAGAAAATAAATATTTGGAAGTATGTCATTGACATGGTGACTTTCTGCTTGCTCTTTCCCTTCCATCTGCTGGAATTTCAGATATTCTCTCAGGTGGAGGGAGCAACAGTTTCTAATAATCTTGGGGAGCCTTACTGAGGCCAAGGGAAGACGTTTCAGGGCCAAGAGTCTAGCAGCCTATGTTTGTTCCTCATTCTTCGGCCCAACGAAGGTCACTTCAACCTCAGAGGCGGTGGGTCCACTTCTGTTCTGCACTCAGCAAACAAATGATTCCCAGTATGGTGTTCTTGTTAGAAGAGAGAGAGTAGCCACAAAATAGAGAGAAGAGAGGTAGACAGAGAAAAGAGAAAGGGAAAAAAGAAAACAGAGAAAAGAGAATGAGGAAAAAGAGAAGCAGAAAGAGATGGGGGCGGGGGGAGAAGGAAAGAGATTAGAGACAGAGGAAGAGAAAGAGAAAAGAAATATCTTAGATCAGCTCAGCATCAGACTTCTAGAGTGAAACGGGTCGGGTCTTCGATATCTTCTTGTGAAGCCTCTTCATTGTACTGAGGGAGAGGGAGAGAGGAAAAAAGGCCCTTCCTTTGTTTTTGCTGAGACATCTTTGCTGAGCCGACATTTTGCTCGCTATTTGAAATCTTCCCAGGGCAGAATCCTGAGCCCTTCTCTGAGGGGCCATCCAGATGCTGGGTCTTCATGTTCTGGTGCCCCGGAGCCCTACAAAGCTCCCAAGGAGACTGAGGGGGATAGGGAACCTCTCAAGCCCAACCGGCAGCCTTCCTGGGCTCCCACAGCCCAGAATAGATTTGTCACTAGGTAGACTGGCACTCGGAAGTTATGCGCCGCTCTGGTGCCTGGCCGTTTAAGTTGTCAACAATAAATTGAAATTTCATAGCTCATTATTTTCATAACTAAGAAACACAGTGGACAAAATGTCATTCTAATTAGAACTGCCTTTTAAGAAACAAGTTCTGCCCTAAAACAGTGTGACTGGGAATTTCTGAACTGGGGTTGTTCGATCCACTGATTTTTTTTTTTTGGTCTCTAAAGAATTTGATGGGTGCATATGAGGTGACAGACTGTAGACAGCGTGTGGTGTGTGGTGGCTGTGTTTTTCAGAGGCTGCGTGGCAAGGCAAGCAGAGTCCCTGGGGCAGGCAAGGACCCCCGCCATCTCAGGAAGATGGGCGGTCTGCCAGGAGTATGGGCATTCAGCCTACAGAGCTCAAGGCTGCAGAGGGGCCCAAGAGGCATGGCTTTGTGGCATGTGAGGTCTAGTTAAATCTACCCAGAAAGCCTGACTGTTGTCTTTTTTCACTGGAGCCTGGCTGGGAGGTTCAGGCTGTTTGGAATTGGGTGGTTTGTTACACAGTAATAATAAACATTCAGGGGATTTTAATCCTCAACACGTGCTCTTTATTTTATGTTTTGCAAAGCTTTTCTTAATCAGCCTGTATTTCTGCCTTTACAACAGCCCTGTAAGGCCAGCAGGCTAAGGGAGTTGGTCAAGGTCACATAGCGAGTTAGTGTCAGAGCCACTGACCAGCACCCACACCTCTTGACTCCCAAACTAACGCTCTTTGCACTAACTACACCGTGTATTGAGGGTTGCTGTTCGTCTTTTGTCTGTAAGCCAAAGGGCTGTGTGGCTGTGTTGCTGAGATGAAAGGGTGATTATTAAGTCTGAATTTTCTCTTGACACAGATGCAAGTTGGGGTTTTGGGAGTGTCAGGGCTGCCTTCTAGGTGCCTGGCCTATGTGTCAGTCAAAAGGAAGAGAGAGACCCCTCATGTCAAGACCACAGCCTCCCGTGGTTGGCGTTTCAAAGGTGGGATGGGCAGAGAGCCCTAAGCACTGCTGCCCACTAGCCATGTGGGCGGGGAGGCTTCATTCTGCTGCCCTCTCAGAGCTGCTGCATGAATATTGCAGTCCCATTCAACTGATGATTTTGAGTACCCAGCACAGGTCATCTGTGTGGCTGTAACCACAGCCCTGAGACTGTACCTGCCCCAACAGACACTCAATGACTATTGACCAAATAAATGAATGAATGAAAAGATGCATATGAAAATGCCTGCTGAACAGTAAAGCCCTCTACAATTGTAAGGCATCGTGATTATTATTATTTTAATTTTTGCAACCAAAGCAGCAGTTTGTTTTAGCAGGAAGAGCCACGTTTGTAAGCAGGGCTGCCTCTAACTTCCAGAAGCGTGTTGGGCAAGCCCTTTAGTCTCCTGAATCATTGGTCTTCCCTTCCTGGTCCCGCAGGATTGGTGTGAGGATAAAGATAATTCAAGAAAGAGCTCTGTAAATTTTAGAGTTCTTCTTCTTGTGTGTCGTTGAGTTGGTTTGGACTCATAGTGAACCTGTAGGACAGGGTAGAACTGCCCCATAGTGTTTCCAAGGCTGTAAATCTTCATGGGAACAGATTGCCAGGTCTTTTCTCCCGAGGAGCTGCTAGTGGTTTCAAACTGCTGACCTTTTGGTTAGCAGCAGAGCGCTTAACCATTGTGCCACCAGGGCTACACAGTTGTGTTGATAGTAAAAAATGATATTCTATTGTGACATTGAAAGGATAACTGGAGGCTGCAGAGATTGGTGTTTGCCTTGATTTAGGTACTTTTCTAGACTTCTGGCAGAAAGTATTTTCTTGGATTTTTTTAAAAAAAAACTATTTGTGACTAAGAATAATTTTTTAGCAAATACAGAAAGAGGGAGAATAGACTGGATTTTGCCTTATGATCAAAATTTGTAAATGACTCTTTTCTCAATGAAAAATACAATTTCCATCTCCAAGTCACTCCTCCCAAATTATTTCATTTGCTTCTAGAATATTCACTAACTTGGCCCTAACCAGACTTACCCAGGTGGAGAACTTCAGTATTTCTTTAAATTTGACCAGTCATTGTTCTTGGGTAACATTTCCCTCCCACCAGTTCCAAGGGAGACTCACCTCTTAGAAACTATTGTTAGATTTAAAAATTACCAGTAATTTCTAAAAATGTACTTTTGGTTAAAGAACAAATTTTCAACTGCAAGATAATCTTCTTTGGAAGAGGAAGGCAAGGATTCCTCTGTAAATGTTGAGAGAGACATCCAGTGAAGGCTCAGTTCTGAAAAGGAGTCAAGTAATTTTTTCTCCCTGAAATGATCTTTCATGGCACTCTTCTCCCTGGTCCTGGTTTTACTGTAAAACCCTGACATCCTATTTGTGTTAACGAGGAAAAGCTGATAGCATGGAAATGTCCTTAGAAACAGTGATTTACCTCAGGGGAGGTCCTTGGAAGAGCTGCCGCCACTTGTGGTTTTTTTTTTTTTTTTGATTGCTTGGGTTTTGACTAATAACACATATTTCCAATTAATTCTGGAACCCAACACTCCTTTTAATTTTACACCAAGGTTATTGTTTCCTTTATGGAAAAATAAGTTGCATTTTAGGGGACTGTTTCATGTACTGTGGACTAACCTGTTACATGGGTAGGAGAGCTGGCAAATCAAAGGTACAGGCCAACTTTCTGGGAACGTTTTAACTCAGGAGGCTAGCTGCAATCCTGACTTGGCCACTTGGTCTTGTGTGACTCTTATGGAAGCCGTTTAACCACTGTGGGTCTCGGTTTTACATCTGTAAATGGGGATGTATTTGTTTCTTCAAAACATTTATGTGCTTCAGAATGGTGGAGAGGATCAAATGGGAAAAATGACTTGAAAGTTTTTTGTAAACTGTAAAATGGTAGAGGAATGCGACAGAATCTTGTTAATGCATAGCATCCTGACCAGTAGAACTATAATGTGAGCCCCGAAGGTAATTCTGAATTTTCTAGTAGCACATAAAAATGTAAGAAACAGGTTGAATTCACTTATATGATATATATTTAAACCGCTATATCCAAAATATTATCATTTCATCATATAACCAATATAAAAAATTATTAATGAAATGCTTACTTTCTCTTTTGTATGAAGTTTTTAAAATCTGGTGTGTATTTTACACGTATAGCACAACTAAATTCAGACTAGCCACATTTCAAATGCTCAAAAGCCACATAGGGCTAGTGGTTACTATATAGGCCAGTGCAGCGCTGGGCATTTCCTAGACAGCCTGTTATTTTCTTCCCAACATCTGTTTTGCTGGTCCCTTATGGCTAAGTTCCTTTCTTCTTCTGCTTGGGTCCTAGGTATTATGAAACGGGCAGCATCAAGCCTGGGGTGATTGGAGGATCAAAACCAAAAGTTGCTACGCCCAAAGTGGTGGAAAAAATCGCTGAATATAAACGCCAAAACCCCACCATGTTTGCCTGGGAGATCAGGGACCGGCTGCTGGCAGAGCGGGTGTGTGACAATGACACGGTACCCAGCGTCAGCTCCATCAACAGGTGAGGGGCTGGTGGCTGTTGGGGTTGGGGATCTGGGTGGGTGGTCCTGGAGGCTTTGTGTGTGCCTTCCTTGGAACATCTGGCTCCTCCTTTCACCAAGGCCCCTTAGGGATTATGGATAGGAAGGATGCTAACAGATCCTGATGTGTCTCTCTGTTACCCTTCTTCCCTCCAAAGTGGGCAGGGGTGCTTGGCTCAGGGAAAGGGAACCATGCCAATACCACGGCTGTGGCTGTTTGAGATTCTCCTGAGTGCAGAGTGATTCCCATCACTCCCTTCACCATCTCACTCCATGTGTGGGGCGCTTTACAGAGAACTTTCTAGATTAGGCCTTCGTAAACATCACTGTCCCTGCAAGCCCAGGCTCGAAGTCTTACCACTGACCCATCGCAGGGTTTCCCAGGAAGAATATCCCTGCCTTTAGTCTAGGCAGAGGTTGAACCAGTGAGTATAGGGAGCACAGCTCGGACTTGGATTGGGAGATTTGGCTCCTGTCCCAGCTCTACCACAAACTCCAAGTGTGACTTTGGCAAGGCTCTTCACCTCTCTGAGAGCCCAGGACTCCCAGCGGTGGTGCTGATGTGAGTCTGTGATCTCAAAGAGCGATGTGCAGGGCACTAAGATGCTCTGGAGTGAGGGGATTGCCCACTCCTCAACTTCCTTGAATCTCACATGAGAGAAAGAACCAGAGAAATACCGTGGGTGCCAGGCCTGGGATCTTCCTGGGACTCACAATGGCTCCTTCTGTCCAATCTGATCCGGGATACATGTAACGGAGCTCCAGAGATTTCAAAGTGAATTCCCGAAAGGACGTTTTCTAATGCAGATGGTGCAGTCTCAACTTCATTTAACTGAACAGGGTTAGGGATGAAGTTGCTGAGATGAACTTCACAAAGAAGAGAAACCAACAGACTGAAAACATAAACAGTTCCCATTTCTCCAAGGTCATGCCCTACCCTTGTCAGTGCAGAGTTTGTCTGGGCCTATGGGGCCCCCACCCACGGCAGAACGAGGATAGTCAGATGAGAATATCTCTGAGGTCCCTTCCAGCCCTGACAGTCTTCCTTGTGCAATGACACCCTGCACAGAGTCACCATGTGCCCATGTACATTGCTTTGAGTCCTGCTGTTTCATAAACCGTTCACCTGTTTTTCTTCTCTTAGCAAACATTTACAGAGGTCCCAACATCATGCAAGATGCTGAGAAGGTACAGGGTAATCAGGCACACAGTCATCCTGTCTCTGTCCTATAGGGGCTCTTAACCCAGGGTGGGATTCTGGATGTCAGTCTGGCCGCCCTGAGCTAAGTACAGTACTGGCGAGGAGGTAGCAAATATTGTGGTGGTTTTAGGGGTAACATTGCTGTTCTTTTTCCGAATTACAAGGGGCTCCAACGTGCTTTGTGACTCCTCTGTTTATGGTTAGTTGCAGGGTTTCTGAGACACAAAGCAACAAGCCTTTTTTTCCGTGCCTCCAAAGCACAATGCACTGCATTGGGCAAATCTGTGGCAAAAGATTTCTTTAGAATCTTAAAAATGTAATGGTATAGTAAAGGGTCAGCGAAAAAGAGGGAGACCCTCAATCAGATGGATTGACACAGAGGCTGCAACAATGGGCCTAAACATAGCAACGACTGTGAGGATGGTGCAGGAGTGAGCAACATTTCGTTCTGTTGTACATAACGTTGCTATGAGTTGGAGCCAACTTGATGGCAGCTAACAAAAACAACCAAAATGTGGAGCGAGGCACGTACCACCATGTTTTGAACCTAGCAGTCAGCTTGTTTGACAGAGGAACCTCATCCAAACCCATGGTCAGGCTTTGGGGGATCTAGAGTCTTTAGCTCCATCTTTCTCAGGGTGGGGTAAACATATATATGATCAGTGGTTTGCAAGATGACTTTAGCTGGTTTATGGGGGTCACAGACATAAATGCTCACATGAGGCCAGGCAGATAGTGTAATGAGTGAAGCAGGCCTGGCATAAGGTGATAGGGAGAGGTTGGATATGCGGCAGACTAAGGAGCACAAGTCCTGTTAAAGGGACAGTTGCCTCCCAGCTCCAGCTGAATATTGCCAGGAATGCCGGCCCAGCGTTTGCCAGGTTCTTTCCATTCTTAAAGAGAAGAAACTAGGACTTGTGTATATATGTATGTCTGTGTGTGTGTATGTTTGTGTATGTGAAATCTCCATATTTTTAAACTGTGGAGACCAATTTCAATTAAAAAACGACTTGCAGGATAAGCATAACTCATTTGCAAGGCTCCAATTTGCATCCTCTCTGATGCAAGATGAAAATTGTTTTGTGATGAATTTATTTTAATGTGCTTTAGAAGAATATAACTAGCCCACTAAACCAGTTAGTTTGTGAACTTTATGATCCTCCCTACCCCCCACCATTTATATAGGGAACTAAAATTGCCTAACAAAATAAATTTATTTAAGTTAAAAAGTTAGCTGTTTGAAAGAAACATATGAAGTAAATAGAGCCCAGTGGTTACAGACGTGGCAAAAGATGTGGAGGAGGTACTGGAATGAGTGGCGTTGGGAAATCCTGGATCACTGATGTTTTGTGCCTGGAGCTGTACTGAGTGGCTGGCTGCTGGTTGCTGGGCCATGGCTGGCCTCAGGGGCCCCCTGGGTGCCCTGGTCCGTAGCTGTGGCCTGACTGGCCATGTGTCCTAAATGCTTTCACACCTGTGGTCTCCTGCAGTCCCCAAGGCCTGACTCTACCCTGTGACAGGTATAGAAACTGAGGCCCAAATGGGAGTCAGGGGAATGATGACTTTGTGGTAGAGCTGAGGGTGGAACCCCGGTCTCAATGGAAGAGGAGAGCTGGTCTCTTTCCATCACTGCCCTGCAGGACTCTGCAAGTGACAGAATCGAGGATCTGGGAGAAGAGAGGCAAGGAGGCAGAAAACAGCAATTCTGACTCTGTTTTGGAACCTACATGTTTTGCTGTCTTTCTGCAGGCTCCCTCTGTGATCCGTAGTCTCGTGGTAACCTTTCCTGTACTTTTGTTTGGGTGTCCTCTCCGGGGGCTCATCTCTGGGGCTCCTCACTGCACTCTGCAGGGAGAGCTGTATGGCGTCTGGCCAACTAATTGACTGCAATGCAGATAAACTAAGTGTGGGCCAATCTCATGTATCTATACCCTCCTCCCTGACCAAGAAAGCCTGAGCTAGCCCACCATCCCGATTTTATTTTCCATATGAAGACAAAGATCCCATTGCATTCAAATGGCTGCGACTTCTAAATACCTGCCTTGTAATTGTTGCTGGAGCCCTGGTGGCGAAGTGGTTAAGAGCTCAGGCTGCTAATCAAAAGGTTGGCAGTTTGAATCCACCAGTCACTCCTTAGAAACTCTGTGGGACAGTTCTGCTCTGTCCTATAGGGTCACCGTGAGTCAGAATCGACTGGACAGCACACAACAACAAGGGCATCAACGGCTCCCTCTCCCAGCCCCTGCCTCCCCTAGAAGCAACTTCTCATTATTGCTCTATTTCAAACAGCTGGGGAGGGACTGGTGGCTGGACTTGTAGCTATTCTGGTGGCCAGCAGGGTCATCTCCACTCCTAGAAGTGAGTGCCTTCCTGCTGTCTTCATGGGGACCAGCCTGGGAAACCATGACTGATGTGGGATTAAACAACACTGAACCAGTTCTGCTAGGCTTGGAGGAAATTTCCTGGAACACAAAGCACCATGCTATGTGGCTTCTTAAGGAATGCTATGTATGCTGGGATGCTGCACAACCTCTTGGAATCCGGTCTGAGTGTCAGTTGAAGGCGGCTAAGAGCTGATTCAAACTGTGGGTGGGATGGGGTCTTTCTTATTCTGTTCCAGTCCCATGGCTCTAAATCAGGGGCCAAGTGGTGGGGATCACAAAGAATACGAGCAGCATTCCCAGTTTAGAGGGGTAGCTCTACTTAGCACCAACTGGTTGTTGTCACATGGCATTGTGGGGCCGTTAATGCCGGATGTTCTGATTTTTCAAGAGAAGCTAGAAACCCAGGCATTTATGTAAAAGGAAACTCTCAGCTTATAAATATTGACAACTAATTCAAATAAAAATAAATATACTGTGCAGGCCAAATAAAACTTGTCCAGGGCTGGATGCAGCCTGGGGCCAATGGTTTGTGAGCTCTGCTCTTAATGCTAACTTGGGCAGCAAGCCTTCTGAGACTGTGCACCCATCCCCTCTTCCTTCTCCACATGATCATCTAGGGCACTGCCTGTGGGCCCTCTCCCAGCTTGGCCCAGTTGGACCCCTGGTTTTTGGATTCTCAGTTCTGCTTATGGCCCAAGCATCTTCCTGCACCAATAGCAGTTTGATCAGTGCCAAAGACATGAGTGTTTCCTTAGCCCTATTTCCTCATTTCCTTTTCCAAAGCACCATGATTTTCTCTTTCAATGTAATTTTTTGGGGGGAGTGAGTGAGAAAATCTTTCAAAAAACCTCGTCTTCATGAATTCTCCTGTCATAAGAAGAGGGGGGAGAAATGGGATCCCAAAAACACCTGTAATACCTAAAGCCCCTCACATTTTAATCCTCAGATTCTAAATAGATTCTGAATCCAAATAGGCTCATATATGAAATTTTTAGCAAAGGGACCATTTCATCGAATACGGCTCAAAGAAAAGTGCTTGGGTAAGGGATTCAGGAGTCTGGGCTGATTCACTGTGTGACCCTGGGCAAGTCACTTGAGCACGCTGGGCCTTAGTTTCCTCATCTGTAGGAAGTGGCTGATTGCTGAGCTCCCTTCTCTGTTGGACCATCTAGGATGTTCGTATAGTGTCCAGGGTCATGTCCATGTTCAGTAAAGTAAAGGATGTGCCTTTTAATGCTAACTGCCAATTAGCACAAACTGTCTCTGGTTTAAAACAGGTCCTGAATGTGCTTTTATTGTAATGAGTCATGACGATAAGTTGTTATTTTTTATTTTTAAAGACGATATCATTCAATTACAGTCTTGTTCTTCCCACTAATATTTCTTCTCAGTGGAAGATAATGTTCTTTATTCTTACTTGGTGGCTGCTGAGAGCACCTGGGCAAAATCTCTTATCCTCAGGGACAGCCTTGGAGGGTTCCTTACGATTCTGGACTCCTCTCTAAAGGACAGCTCCACTGTAGCCTTACAATAGGGTGTAGTGATGGCTGCCTTCCCCTCCCCAGCTCCCAAGGGAAACCCTTGCGTGTGTGTGTGTGTGTGTGTGTGCGCGCGCGCTTTTTTTCCCCTTTTTCCCATGTGTTTTCTAAGGCAAGTGTGGAAAATATTAACCTTTTAATCTTTATAAAGACACTACTGATAATAACAACAGCTAATATTTCTTGAGCAGTGTTCTAAGTATTTAATTAATTTAATCCTCATCATAATCTTTGTTGCTGTTGTTAATCACTGAGTTGATTCCAATTATGGTGACCCCATGTGTGTCAGAGTAGAACTATGCTCCATAGGATTTTCAAGACTGTGTCCTTTCAGAAGCAGATCACCATTCCTATCTTCCGAGGTGCCTCTAGGCAGATTCAAACTGCCAGCTTTTCAGCTAGTAATTGAGCACTTGGTCCCATTTTGCAGATGAAGAAACTGAGGCACAGAGAGGTTAAGTAATTTACCTAAGGTCATGCAGCTGGTAGATTGCAAGTCTGGGATTCAAACTCTAGTAGTCTGGTTCTGGAGGCTGTACACTTGATCACCATGCTGCAGCTGCCTCTCAGTGATTTTTAATAATTGATAATGTTTTATAAATATTTTAAAAGAAACATAAGGAAAACATAATTTTCTCTGCTTTGTTTATATATAAATTTAATGGCCAGACAATGCTTTGAAAAATTAGGACTTTATGCTGGACTTCAATGGGAAATAGTTATATTTTGCTATATATTAATATAAACTGTAATATAGATAACTGTATTTATATCATGCATATCCATATAGTCACATATCTAGCTATATTTCTCTGTGTATATATAAGTATATATATATAAGCTATGTATATATATCTCTATGTATATATATACATAAATATATACACACACATACACAGAGAAGGTGACATACACAACAATACAAAAATTCAACCAGATGCCAGCTTAATTCTAGGTGGTCAAGAAGACTACCTCACTCTCAGGTCTCTGTCCAACAGCCTCTGTGTTTGCTTAGTTAAAATAAATGGTTTGAATGTAGAAACAAACAAATAAATCATTCTGAATGTATTTGAAGCTTAACTTAAGCTGACTCATCAGAGAACGGCAAAAGGCCCTTTGCTGAGCTCAAGGGGCCTGGGCTCCAGAGGACCTATGGTTGGGCTGTAGGGTGACCAGAAACGCCCATTCCAGGCTATCAGCCACGGACCCAGCACCAAGCAGTTAAGATCAGAGAGGGCAGAGGCCACAGCCCAATGAGGTTAAGGAGCAGCACCTGCCACTCTGTCCTTCCTCTCCATTTGCACAAGCTGGAGATCTGGTACAGCCTTGAAACAACAAGCTTCTAGAAAGGGTCTGGGATGTAGAAAAGCTTCTCATATAATGTTGAGCGAAAACAGCAGGAGACACAGCTATATTCATGGTTTAATCCTGATTTTTTAAGAGAAAATGATTGTTTCTAAATATACACAGGAATGCTGGCACAAAGGAAATACACCAAAAGGGGATTTTAGATGTCTTCTTTATACTTCTCCATGCTGTCCAAGTCATCTGCAATGAGCACATATTACTCTTATAATTAGGAAAAATTAATAAATGTTCTTTTAAAGAATAGTTTGAGGCTGGAACAGAACTTTTCCAAAGACCCTGAACATGTTATTACCACCCTTCCTTCTCCCAAACTGCCAGGGAAGGAACTTTCTTGTAGACCCCAAAGAGATTTTTTGTCTAGCCCTGTTCTGCTGCTCTAAGACGCACTGGCCTGGGGTCTTGTAGAGGCCCCACGCACGGTCCATCTGGAACTTTACAAACTAGGCTTCCCAGAGTCCAAGGTTCCGCAGAGCTGTTAGGTGGCAAAGGGAAGACAATTACTTAAATAAAGTTGGTAAAGAGTGATCTATTCCAACTTCCTCATTGTACTCAGGTCTAGAATGTTTTGAATTTTCCCGAGGTCACAGTCAAGTTCATATTAAAACTGGAGCCAGTTCTTCAGAAACACAGTCCAGGGCACATGTGGCATTCAGCCATGTGGAGCCTTTTGATGAGGTTTTGTACGAGGTAGGCTTCCCCTTGGCAAAGCCAAGCCAGTCCTCTCCTAGTAGCACTGTAACCCTTCCTAGTTGCACAGCAACACATGCACCACCTCTCTTGGTAATCTCCTTGTGTGGGAGGTGTTAATCCTCCTGTAGTCTCTCTTTGGCAGAGAAACCACAGCATCATAGCTGTCAACGGACAGAGAAGTCACCCGGTTCAGCCTCTCCATTCCACAAATGGGAGCTGAGGTCCAGGGAAGGGAAAGGATGCCCCAAAGTCACTCAGTGGGTCCCTTATGGAGCTGGAATTACATCTGAGAAAGGGATGCCCATTTGTAACATTACTGCATCATCCCCTTTCTACAGAAGAGACACTTGAAGCCCAGAGAGTGACTGCAAGTTGCCCAAAGATTTCTAGGAAGGTAGGGGCTGAGTTGGGACTAGGTCATAATTCTTCCAATCCCCTAACTACCAACCTGTGTTCATAATCTCCCCCACCTCTGCCCTAGCTCCACCTGTGGCCCAGCTTGAGTATGGGTTTTCTGGTTGTCTTTGCATACCTCCTCCCTAGAATGCCTGGTGGTAAATAGTCGTTTGTTTTTTCCCAACTGCCTACAGGATCATCCGGACAAAAGTACAGCAACCTCCCAACCAGCCGGTTCCCGCTTCCAGTCACAGCATAGGTAAGAAGAACTTTAAAAAAAAAAAAAAATTTAAAAAACTAATGGGCTCCAAATATTCTAAAGAACTTTTAATCATTCTTATGGACAGATAATTCTGCATAAAACACTTTGGCACACGTACTAATGCGCCTTCTTTGTCATTCTCCAAGGGCTGAACCTGGTAAATGAATTTTATAAATACTGCTAAAAGGTTTTGAATTTTACTGATTATTATGATAAATAGCTTTCACCATGAGACAGAAAATTGAAATCTAAGCCAAAAAAAAAAAAAAAAAATCCACTAATGGGGGTCTATAGAATGTCAGATAATTAAAGTAATAAATCAAGAAAGGGATACTTATTCATAACATTTTCTGCATCATTAGTCAGTAAGTAGTTTTGAATGTGTTTTTTCCTTCTATCAACCAGCCCTTCCACAATTCTTTGTGCGCTTGCAGTCTTGAGCAAAGATGTGGCAAAACTTGCCAAACTTTCTTTCTTTCTTGCTCTTGCTTTGATCTCATGAACTGTCAAGGGCTGCCAGCGGGGTTTCTGATGCTCACAAGCCAAGTCCGAGAGTGGCTATGACTTGTAAGGGTGGGAGTCATAGCTCATACTACTCAAGAGTCTAGAAATTTTCCTTCCCTTCCTTTCAAAGATTGTGAGATGAAGATCCACATGTGTCTATTCAAGGTACATTATTTCTCCCTTGGGTTACAGGAAACACCCCTGGTTAGCTGGGGAAAAAGCTATTCTCCTATCAGAAAGTGAGTGGCCATTCAGCAAACCTGTGACAGTCATAGTTGCCACAGTCCCTGTTCATTCTGCTTAATCACATCTCAGATTGTGCGGCCTTTCCACACCTTCGTCACTCCTTCTTTAACCAAAAACTTGAACTCCCGGTGGGGATGGGGGACAGGCAGAGAGGCCTGGTTTATAGTTCCAGCTCTATCATTAACTCACTCAGTGAATGGTGCAGGTCCCTTCACCTCTCTGAGCCCCAGTTTTCCTTTTGTGGACTGAGGGGCACAGACCAGGTGCTCTCTGCAGTCCCTACCAGCTTTGATCCTCCACGGTTGCCTCTCTGAATAAAGATAAGAGAGAACTCCTCCCTACCGTGAAATAATTTTTTTATTTAGTAATCTATTCAAAAGGTGTTTGCTAAGCCCCTGCTATGCAGACCGTGGACTTGGAGACTAACGCTGCAAAGGAGGCAGGACAAAATCCACCCCCTTCAAGGACTTCTCAATCTGATGGGGGGAATGTAATGAAGAGAAGTTTGTAAAACACCGAGAACAAGCCCAAGAAGGTGGTATAGGGTGCTGTGGGAGCAGAAGGGAGGGAACAACCAGCTCTGTTCGGCTGAGGTGAGGACTGTTAGGGAAGGCTTCCTAGGGGAATGTTTGTGGCTAAGATTTCACCTTTGGCTGCAACTATTTCAGGTCACATACCCAAACCCATTGCCATTGAGTCGATTCCGACTCATAGTGACCGTACAGCCCAGAGTAGAACTGCCCCATAGGGTTTCCTAGGCTGTAAATCTTTACCGAAGCAGTCGCATCTTTCTCCAAAGGAACTGCGAATGGGTTTGAACCGCCAAACTTTTCAGTTAGCAGCCGAGCGTTTAACCACTGTGCCACCAGGGCTCCTTTAGGTCACATAGCAATGAAAAATTTTGTGGTTTTAATTATTTCAGATCATATAGCAAAAAACATTAACCTTGGAGTAACTATAATGATATTCTTAATGTAATTATTGTCACTAAATTATATACATGAAAAAATCTTGAATTGGCAAATGTTGTGTTATATGTATCTTTACAACAATAAAAAAAGCAAAAAAAATATACCTTTAAAATTGGTTTATAGGAATAATTCTTGTGGGTCAGCAGAAGGCTTTGTTTTGTCCCAGACTTTTAAATAAAACCTTTATCTTTACAGCCCGTTGTAGAGTATAAACTTTTTGAAAAGTGAGAAAGCTGAAGCTTAGAGGGATTAAATAACTAGCCCAACATTCCATGGCCTGTAAATGGTGGAGCCAGAACTGGAACCTGGCTCTTTTGAACCCAGTGCCATCACAAAATACCGGAAAAAACGTTACCGCTTCTGTCAGCAACACGGTGAAGCTTGGTTATGTGTGGGTGTTGTTGTTTAAAGTATCAAGTGACCTGTGATCTTTCTTCCTCTGTTCTCTGCTCCTTAATACAGAAAAAGTTGTGAGATTTGCATAAATCTATTTTGAGGAGATTTTTCTGGTGAAGGAAAAGAGAAGTTAACGATTTCTGCTTCTGGGTCTCCCAAGGAAGATCTAAAATCAAACTCAAATAAGAGAAGAAAGGCACTACTCCCTCTAGGTCTCTAGGAGCAAGGAGCTGGATCTGATCCAAGGAAAGCAACAAACAAACATCTTCTCATGCAATCACTACCATTTCTAGTAATTTCCTACACTTTAGAGTCAAAGGCAGCTCCACCTGCCTCCAGCTAGTAATAGCCCAAGGAAATATGCTTGAGATTGGTCTGTAGGTTTTAATGAAACAAGAAAGAATTCCCATAGCCCAGAAATGGAAATTCAGCTGTACAGCTGGAGAGGACCCTAATCACTGACTGGTCTCTTCCTTGGAGTCTGGGGTCAAGAGTTAATGTGAAATTTGCACAAAAGCTTTCTCCCCTTTTCTTATCCCTGTGAACTATGAGACCTGGCCTCTGTCACAGTAAGTCATCAACCTCTGTCCACAATTCTGGGCAAGGGAAATTTCAGACTTTAAGTCACTAGACCTGGGGCTGAGTCCTGATGCTGCTGCTTCTTAGCTATGTGACTTTGAGCAAATCACTTCACCTTGTGGGCCTCAGTTTCCTCCTTTGATAAACAGGGATAATAATAACACTCTGGGTTGTTGCAAGCCATCAAATGAAAAGCACTGCATTCATATGAAGCATATCATTGTTACTAATCATTAATTAGTGAGGAGCAGATTAGTATAGGAGTCAATCGTTCAGTCTCCGGATTCCAGTCACCGCTCTGCCCCTTATTCCCCTTGGGCAAGTCAACCTTTCTCTAGCCTTGATTTCCTTACCTTTCCGGTGGGATAAGAACATTACCTAGCTTACAGGATTGTTCCCAGGATTAAATGAGACAATGCCTCAATGCCTGACACCCAGTAAGTGCTCAAAAAATGTTAGTTCTCATCACTATCACTATTAATATTAAAAATTAAAATCCAGGTAAAAGGGAGGGAAAACAAGACAGTGAGCAGCTATAAAAAGAAGACGCAGTCTGTCTTCGAAGTTTCCTTGACTGTGTGTATGAGTGTGTTTACAGGTATTTTTGTCTGTGTGCACCAATGGGTGTATCAGTTAAGAGGTGTGGAATGTCTAATAAGTACGTCTAGATCTTTCTTGTCTAGATCTTTCTTAGCACAGCTGTTGCTCCCTTCTTTCTCTTCATCCCCCTGCTTCCTGCATCCCCGGACAGGCTGTGATCTGAGATAGTGCCCTTAGGACCTAGGACACTGCCCCGTGTTCCCTTCCTCACTGCCAGCCCTCCCAGCTGCCCTTTAAGCTGAGAACCTGGGCAAACGACCGACGCGGGCCGCTCTCCTTGCCCAGGGGTGGCCGCTGGGGCAGTAGGGGCAGTGCGCTCGTCCACACCCGCTGGCCCTGCACTCTGTCTGCCGTTGCTTCTAGCGGGTGCACGCTCACAGGCCCGGCCGCGCTCCCTCTGCCCCGCGCCAGCCCGAGCGTACTGCTCAGCCCCACAGACCTCCTGCCGGTCCCTGACCGCCCCTCTCCCTCTGCGCAGTGTCCACGGGCTCCGTGACGCAGGTGTCTTCGGTGAGCACGGACTCGGCTGGCTCCTCGTACTCCATCAGCGGCATCCTGGGCATCACGTCCCCCAGCGCCGACACCAACAAGCGCAAGAGAGACGAAGGTAAGAGACACCCGCGGGGCGCTGTCCGGGACGCGCTCTGCTTCCCAGGTGCTCAGGCCGGGGCGGAGGCAAAGATGCCGGCTGAGCACTGGAAGACCTGAGCCCACCGCAGGGGCAGACAGGCAGCTGGGGCTGTGAAGTCCTTGCTGGTCTCCCCACATTTGGGCTTCTCCCTGTGGGTGGAGAGAGTCGGGCCTGGCTGAGCCCTTGTGGCCTTTAAGAAGGCCCTGTGTGTGCAAACAGTTATGCGCTTGGCAGCTGACCGAAAGGTTGGAGGTTCGGTTCACCCAGAGACTCCTCAGAAGAAAGGCCTGGTTAGCTACTTCTGAAAAATCAGCCACTGAAAACCCTATGAAGCACAGTTCTACTGTGACACACATGGGGTCACTTGAAAGCAACTGTTATTTTGTGAGTGTGTGTGTGTGTGTGTGTGTGTGCAGATATGATGCCTAGGGCTGGGGAGCATAGGGGTCGGGACATCATATCTGCACCAAGGACACTCGTGTTCTTTTTGTGGGGGAGTCTGGGTAGGCGCCGGGCCAAGCAGCCACCTCCTGGGTCTGGCAGTGAGAGAGGCACACATGGGTGGAGGGGGCTGAGGGGTCAGCTCTCTGAGGGACAGTGCACACCTCTCAGCAGAGAAGACCTTCGGTGCTGATAGTGGTAGAGGGGTTGAGGAAGTTAATAACCATCTCCTCTCTGCCCTTGGGCCTGGAAGGAAGGCATACAGGGGCCTCCCAGGGAATACAAAGATGACAATCTTCCTGGATGGTTTTTCTCAACCCCTCTGTGTGGCCGCCTGGGCCTCCTAGAACCCCTCACCTACAGCCTGGCCACGGCCCCCCTTTACCCGGGCCTCCTTTCCACTGGATGAGGCTGCCAGCGCAGACTGACGTTAATGGGTTTGAGAGGAGAAACGACCCCCTGGGAGTCTGTAAAACCTTCGTCAGGAAAGGAAAAAAGCCGTGGTCCAGGGCCTGAGAGCAGCGTGACAGAAATCTTGATTCAATTATTCTGTTTCTCGGCACAATTCCCGTTCTCGGCTCCATGTAAGGGATGTATGTTCTTGTGAGCACATGCCTAAGTACTTAAGATCTGTAACTAGAAAATTGAGTCAGCCCGGTGGTGGATTGGCCTGTGGTCTGCGAGTTCCAGGCAGCGAAGAAGCTGGGCCCGTGGCTTCTGTGGGAAGGGTTTGAGGCTTTGGGAACCTTCCTCACCTCTTTCCCCTGCTCCTGACACTCCCGAGCAGATGTCAGAGTCTTTAACTCAGTGGGTTGCTGTGCTGTATCGCAGCAGGAGCCAGTGGGCCTACAATCTCTGTTGGTTTATGGAGTCGATGCTGTCATCTTTTCTCCCATTGTCACCTGGACTGGAAGCAGATGTGCCCAAGATGGGGCCTGGCTGTATCTGATTATGGTGGGGAACCAGTTGTGTGAGCCTTCTACAAAGGCTGAGAGATCCAGGCGGAGATTGTGGGAGAAAGAAAGAAAATCAAGTGTGATATTTACCACCAAACAGACAGGTCCTGATTTTGGGGATTGTTTTACAGTGTTTGTGGGGTGCTGATTTGGCTTGCCATCTCTGATCAGTGGTCCCTGTTTGGCCCCTCAAGCTGCTTTAAAAGGTATAGAATGGTCAGAATGTGGGTGGTGTTAGTCCTGACTACTCAGCACTGATCAGGTCATGCTCTGAGGACACTGGCCCGTTTGGGATATTGACCCTTAAGAGAGACAGTGGCAAACTGGGATGTGTCCAGATGAGTGTAATTGTGGTGTACAGGGATCTGGCTATCACAGCACCTGGGGGAGCACCTCAAGATTCTAGGGATGTCAACACAAAGAGAAGAATTAGCAGGATTGGATTATTGCCTGCACATATTTTGAGGGCTGACATGGAAGGAGAGAGGAATGAGACTTCATGTGTGGCCTCAAAGGCCAACTTGTAGCAGATGCAGAGGAGATTTCAGCTCGGTGTGCAAATACGAGATTGGTCAAGGGGTAAAAGGGGCTGCCTCGAGAAGTAGTGAGTGCCCCATCATTAGGGATATGCAAGCAGAGCCTAGCTGGCCACTTGCTGAGCTGAGCTGCTGTACAAGAGTATCAAGAATCAGATGTGGGATTGGATGATCTTTGAGGTCCTTCCAGCTCTAAAATTTACCATAGTATCCTGACTCCCATTGTGTGATCTGTGGGCTCAAGGACAATGATTTGATGGCCCTGGAAGCTTACAGAATTGGAATGAGTAGGGAGCCCAAGCAGCCGGAGCCTCTCCTCTTCTCTCTCGATCTGCTCCGTTGCTTCACCCAGAGTGTCTGTGGCTGAGCAGAACAGAGGACAGAAGTGCCCTTGCTCACATCAGCGAAGTCTCTTGGAGGGGTGGGGGTGGAGGTGTATGACATAGCGCCCCCTACTGCCCTTTCCCAAAACCCATTGCCATAGGATTCCTAGGCTGTAATCTTTACAGAAGCTGACTGCCACATCTTTCTCCCACTGAGCAGCTGGTGGGTTAGCAGCTGAGGGTTTAACTGCTGCATCACCTGAGCTCCTTTGCCTTTTCCCAGTCTCTCTCTGTATTGCTGCAGATCCCTGTATCACCTCAGGGGTGAGGTAAGGAGGGAGACATTGCCACTCCTATTTTAAAGAGGAGAAAACGGAGGCCCCAGGGATTTCTGTGACATTGGCAAAGCTACTAGGTGGCGTGGACTGGGGAGTTGGGAGGAGCTGGAGAGCCCCAAGGCCTCTCAGTTTCCTGGCTTTGGCCTGCTGCCCCTCAGCCCCTCTAGAGAGGACCCTGAAGGTAGAGAAGCCTGGGTCTAGGTGGAGCCTGGGGAGGATGTGTGGAAGGATTTCAAGCAGAAGGGTCAGCAGGCCAGATGCTGCTGAGAGGTCAGGCGTTTGAGGAGAGCAGCCACTGGAATCAGGCCAGGGAAACCTGGGGGAATTGCCATGCTGTACACTGGAGGGCTGTCCTGTTGAGGCTGCAGACGTTGTATTTGTGAGGGGCTGACCTCCAGGAGTGGACTGTTTCCCTCAGAGCCCTCAGCCTGAGAGAAGGAGGGTATAAATCAGATAGTAGGTTGTTCACAGGGGAGGGATTCTGCAGGTGGGAGTAGCAGATGGGGCAGAAGAGATATTGGAGGGCCAAGAGGAAAATGGCTAAGGATTCCCAGTCCCACTTTTGAGATGAAGTGACTGAGTCTCTGCAAAGTGGAATTACTTGCTCAGCTCTCTGGTTCCCAGTCATTTCTAGCTCAGTCTTGGATATTTCCTGGTGCCATTCCCCTGCCAGGACATCAGGGAGGGAGTGGGCAGTGATACAGGGCCTGTCCTCTAGAGCTCACAGGCTAGCAGCAAGTCTGGCAAGCCCAACATCCCTCTGGTGGGCAGTGTGTGAGGTGATGCTGTAATGGGGGTGGGGGGGTGGCACCAGGACGGGGAGAGCAGGGCCGGGAGAGGCTGATTTTGACCAAAAGGATCTCGGAAGGCTCCTCATAGGAAGTGGATTCGAGGCCTGGGTAGAGGAAGGAGAAGACATTCGAAGGAAAGTGATTATGCCAAGACTGGAACTCCAGTGAGCATGTATGGAGAGGGCTCAGGGGACAGGGAGAGGTCCAGTACAGCTAGGGTGAGAGAGGGAGAGAAGTGGAAAGAGAGTTAGACTGAGTGGCTTGGCCATTGCCGCCTCTAAGCTTTTAGTCTGGAAGCAGTGGGGAGATGATTTTGAGCTGTGTGCCTTCGAGGCTCAATAGACGTGCACTGTGCTGAATGTTCAGATATAAGGATGGATATGGAAGCGATTAGCCCAGCGCTGTCCAACAGAAATATAACGTGAGCCACATATGGAATTTTAAATCTTCTAGTAGCCTCATTGGAGCCCTGGTGGCACAGTGGTTAAGAGCTCGGCTGCTAAACAGAAGGTTGGTTGTTCGAATCCACCAGTTGCTCCTGGAAACCCTATGGGGGCAGTTCTACTCTGTCCTGTAAGGTCACCATGAGTCGGAATTGACTTGATGGTAACGGGTAGTAGCTTCATTAAAAAAAATAAAAATAAAAAGAACCAGGAAGAATTAATATTAATAATATATTTTATTTACCCCAATATGTCCCAAATATTATCATTTCAATCATCAATAGAAAAAAAATTGATGTCATATTTTCCATTCTTTTTTGTGTTAAGTCTTTGAAATTTGGTATGTATTTTACACTACGACGCATCTCAGTTTAGATGCTAAATTTGACCAGTTAAAATTAAATGTTGTCCTTCCAAAGCCATAAGGTTGTGTTTAGTGGAAAAAGATTTTACATTGCTTCAGTTTTTAAATTTAAACTTAAGTTCATTAAAATCAAACCAAATTAAAAATTTAGCTCCTCAGTTGTACAAGTCACTCTTGAAGTGCTCCATAGCTGCGTGTGGCTAGTGGCTACTGTATTGGGCAACATGGCTCTAGTGCAAATGCTCAATCGTTGCTTTTTGATGGACTGGATGAGTTACATGTCTTTGAGGTTCACCTTTAGTGAGGAGGGGGAATGGAGGGTCTCTAGTCTCCTCAAGCAGGGGTGCGCCTGTTTGGTATTTTGAGCTTCCACTGAAAGCTCTGTTTGAGTCAAGATTTCTGTGGTAAAAACAAATAAAAAGTTAGAACACTGTTAGATCAGTGGTCCCCAAGGGCACTTTCAGTCTAGAAATTCTAAGATCCTCCTTAGGATGCTTGCCTCCAAGACCAGACTTGGGGGCGTGGTCACTGACTCCAAATCTCAGTTGAACTGTTCTGTGACTGAGGCAGCAGATCCAGTCCGGGTGGCCTCTGAGGACAGAGCCAGGGCTGGTTAAGGAAGCTTCAGGGAGGCAGATTACAGCTCAGTGCAAGGAAGGGCTTTCTGATAACAGCAAGGCTGGGAAAGGTAGTGAGCACCCTGTCACTGAAGGTATGAGGAGCGGCTGTACTAATGAGGAGCAGAGTAGTCAAAGAAGGTATTTTAGTCTAGACTCAGTGACTT